TAAAATATGCCACCAATTTATCACGAATTTTTATTTAGCTCCCGTTGAATAAACTTGAATCCACTTCATCCAAGAATGCTTTGAGGTATATTGTTTTTTAATTGGCCCAGTGATTTTTGAGAAGAAGTCGAAAATGAAAATAAAAGTCCTTTATATCCCTTAGTCTGTATGTTCAGAAGTAATATCTCACCTTACTCCGTACTGTATAATATTTAAATCCGTTGAATTACTGTCTGAAAAAGCCATTTTTGATTCTATCTACAGAATGGATTTTGCCGTGAATTTATTTACTTGTATATTTCCAACTAAACTTGTTATAGGGATGAATCAGGGCAATGCCTTTGTGAAAATTAAAAAAAAAATCCTGCACCGATATTCAATATTTAACATACTTTAAATTTGTGTCTGTCTGAATAAAATGAAAAAAAAGTGTTTGTTTAAGACCTTCTAGGTCAAAATCCTTGTGCATATATTTCTTTTAATCTGAGGAATTAAACATTACCACTTAGTTCAGTTAATTATTTAAATACTTAAATGGTTAACTTAATATGTAACAGAACAAAAGAAACCGTCAAAGAATGTTATAAAATGAGTTTATTTTAATCTCAGCACTTATCTTTTTCAATAATATTGCAGGATCATTTTGCTCTCAATATGCCTGGTATGTACCATTCATAGATGTGTGATCTTAGAAAAACAACATCAGGAAATACAATGTAATCCATTTATGTACAGCTTTGATGGCGATGATTTATCTGCTTATAAAATGTTGCATTGTGTTATAATTAGGCAAGTGTTTGGTACCTTTTTAATTGTTTTACAGTTTTGGACTTTAGAGTCTCGCACATGTGTATGGTAAGTATAAAGTCCCAGCCTTAAATTAAATCTGAAGAAAGTATGTTGTACATGTATAATACTTTCTATTTGAATATCCCTGGCCTTTGTAGGGGTGGTTTTAATCCATGCTGTACAGGACGAAAACCACGCTGGAATAATAATACCAAAGAGTGTGAAGGTGATATTTATTTAAATATCCGTTTGATTTATTAAGTTGTAATAAAAACATTATTAATATTTTGATTAATGTAAAAACCTTGATATTTTCAGCATGTCCCATCGGTTATATTTACTTGGACTGTTCTGAAACATGTCCATATCCAAAATATGGCAAAGATTGTCAAAAAACTTGTGTATGCGATGAAAAAAATTGTAACTTTGCCCATGGGTGTCCGGAATCAACAGGTACGTTTCAAAAACATATTTGAAAGCGGTAAATACCCATTTTTAGGTTACATGTGTAAACTTGTAACGTGACCTATTGATATCCGTTTTCGTCCGTCGTTGTGCAGTATGCGTCGCGTGTTAACATTAAATCATGTTTAGTTTCTTTTCTACACCAATTCAACCAATTTCAACTTCATTTGGCATAAAGCATATATGGGTCAAGAGAAAGAAAGGTTGTGGTCCCTGCCCCTTGGGCCTGAGGGATGAGAAAAATACAACAAAAAATAATGGTATCTTTCAAAATATTCTTTACTCTTGGACACCACTCGTTCCAGTACTAGGGCTGAAATATATAGATTATACATAAAATGCATTATTTTTTTTTGAAAATTTTCTCGACTCCTTGGTGTTATATTTAAATAAGCTAACCCAGTACATAGCTACATGTACATATATGTTGAACAAGCCTGTCTCAACAAAAATTGTGAATTTCATAGCCCATGGGTTAGGAATTTTTGTGTTTGGGCGGTGCTCTAAAGATTATGACGTGAAAATACATTTTTTTTTTAATTAAATAAACAAACTTTATACATAGTTATGTTGATCATGTGCCGTACATGTATAAGGGGGCTCCAATTTTATACTGAAAATGAATTAATGCTTCGAAATCTGCTCTTGGTATTAATCGAACATTTATATGCTGAGCAGGGGTGTGTTGCCGGATGACCAAGCGTCTAATCCATTCTAATTGAATATTCAATAAAACACAATTCCAACAAAGTTTCAAATGTTTATTCTGTTTTTAAAATTACAATAATTCACTGGAATCGTACACGTAGTGTTCCTCGTTGCGCACACTCCCCTCTCGGGTTGTGACCTCAGAGGCTGAGTGTCTGTATCTAAAATATTCTTAGAACTTATGTAGAAATGAATTCAGTTTGGCTATGGGTGGAATTCAAATAATAATACAAGACCCATGCATTTTCTAGCATAACACGGCAGGAAAAGAGAGTGATTCACTCAACCGTGCGCTTTAAATACCTTTGTAGAACTGAGGCTCCATAAAGGATAAAATAAAAAAGGTCCCCTACATGATAACTGAATATATGCAAAAGTAAATAAAAACATAAATGTAGAGTAAATGTGACAGCGTGCCTTTCCAATATTGTGCAATGTGTGGAGTTAGGGTCATGGGTTAATGTGGGGTTTGGTAAAAATGATTACTAGTATTGCTGAATAGTACCGATTAGTTGAAATGTATCTCTGCCTATCGGTGTTAAGTGAGTGAAATTAGCATGCTAAGTATATAATAATGATAAACAATGGCACCTCTTTCCAAATTATGAATGTAATGGCCTCTGTTTTAAAACATGAACCAACTTCAATGATCGGAGATAAGTAACATGATGCGCAGGTGACCTTTAAGGACCAAGTCTCTTGTTTTAATAATGCAAGAACAACTTGATTTGGATTTCATTTTGATTTTGATTTCCCTTTCAATTTCAAATAAGTTACCAATCTAATCAGTCAAAGAAATACGCAGAAAAAAGATAACTTGTTAAAATTACTAAGAATTAAAACTAGTAAATGTAGTGTAAAGATACCTCTAACTAATGTGTGTATGTTTAAGCAAAAGTATTCTCAACCTTTTTACTTTCAACTTACTCTATCTTACAAGTAAATATTTGTCTTCTGAAAGTAAAACGTGCTTTTAAAATCAATGTAATTTTATAATTAAATAATATGTCATGATTATATATATTTATTACAAAGTGCCTGAAAATATAGTGACGTCACTGGAGGAAAACTCAAGTCCACCTCACTTTACAAGAAAATGGATCACAACTACAAACCTAATGAAAGTGTCAAAGTTTGGTATATCAAAAAAATCAAAAGAACAAAATGAAGCAAGTACATTTAAATCGATAGAAAGTACTCAACTATTAGAGAATCAAGAAGACTTTTTCTCACAGTACAAAACATTGATATTCATTTGTATTGCAGGCTTCTTTGTGTTTTTGTTTGCTATCTATGTTGGATCAAATATGTATAAGAATTTTTACTATAAAAGAGCAAATCTAAATAGAATCGAACAAACCACAAAAGCAAATGCTAATTATACCCAACTTAATCAGATATTAGAACCTCACGCGTCTCCTTTAAATGTGCCAATTCAGCCAAACAGTGTCACTGAAAATTCACTATACTTATCACCAGTGCATCCAGGAGGTTCGGAAGATGCAGCATATTTGTCCCCTGTGACTTCAGCAAGGGAATGTTCTGAAGACATTGATGTATATGATGAACCCCTTTTTTTGGAAGAAAACGAAAGTGAAAGCAGTACAAATAATGTTCAAGACTTGTATATAACGCCTACACACATTTACGTAGAAGTGATAGAATGACAAGAATGTTAATACACAGGAAATTAGTAATTAAGAATTTTCATGCATCGGTAACATTCATTTTCGAGGACAATGTAAGACTAAGTATACTTTACGGTAAAGTGATAAGTAAGAGTAATTTTTAACAGTCTCTATCTTACATGTACTTCTCTTCATTTGTATTACTAAATCAAATACAATATAATGTGTTTGTACATCCTTTGTTGCATGTACATGAATTGAAAATAGATGAACAGTACTGAACTTTAAGTAACACTATTAACATGTAAAATACGTATATATGGCAGGTAATTTTTTTACAGAGTAAAATGCATTTTATTATTAAACAGAATAGTATTTAAATATTTTATTAAGGCAATCAACCCAAATGTAAAACTTTTGTTTAGTGAGATTTTTCAATGAGTAGCCGGAGAATGTATGTTATTAATTTTACCATGTTTATATGTACAGGTTTATCATGTTGAACATCGAGGTGGCTTATATAATCGCCTTTTTTGCAAGGGCATACTCTTATTATTTGAATATAAATAAAGGATGGTTTCCTTACATTGAAAAGTGCTGCTGCTTTCTTAAAATCTAGAGTTTGACTTTATTAGGACATAGAATACTTGCTAAAGGTCACACATATTTCGACACGTGAATCTAAATTAATGAAATACGAATTCTTCTTAGAGCAGCAGCACTTTGCAAAAAGGACAAAGTATACAGCAACAAATGGTAACCTAGATTTTTAATTTATCAAATATGCCCTTGCAATATTGAAAATTTTTCATGACCTCCATTCAGTACACATACTATGCATTTATTACATGACTGTCAATTAATGGGATCAAACTTAATTCAGTACAGAGTCTTCTTTTCTAATACGAATTCTTTGCTTAATTTTATCTTATCTCTTTGAAGACATTTCGGCATATTATCAAAATATTTTCATACGACTAGCTTGATATAATCATGAGTTATCAATCAATTGAAGAGAATTCTAATGTAAAAACACTCTAAAAATAAAAATTTTATATAGTGTATAAATTTTCTTTTCTTTAAGTGTGTACGCGTTTTTGACTAATTACATATAAAGTCTGTATCACAGTTGCAAAATGCCACTTGTATTTAAATTTTACATATTTTCAAATGAATTGAAGACAATTACAAATGAACAAATGACAAATGGTAGTTGTAAGTGAATATACTTTTCTCCAAATAATTAAAACAAAGTTCAAATAAATTAAACCCATCTTTAATGAAGTTACACCTTCAACTAAATTGAAAGCAAAATAAAATGAATTTAACCTATCTTAAATTCATTTGAAGACAGTTCGTGCATTTAAAGATAGATCCTCGCCTGTTTGTGTTTGTTTTTCTGCTCTGATAGGTTTCTGTCTACGACTGCGCAACCGCTCTGGAGCTGTATCGAATGTTGCCATTTACACCATGTAGATATACATCAGATATAAGTTAAAGGTATTATTTATTTCTTTTTTCTTTCTTTTTTCCGCTTTTTTGCGTAACAGGAAATCAAAAATCAATGATGTTTTATTCCAGGCATATAATGTCTTGTTTCTATTGTCATTTTCTTATCCTACTTTCGTTTCTTATACATATATATTTACTATCTTCTGAATTTAACAAGTTCAAAATATTTCTACTAATAGAGAAAGAACATGATGAATGCATTTTAAGTTATCAAACTGTCACTGTATCTCAGCGACCATGCCTTAAAGGAAAAAGGAAAATTGCGTATTTTTTATTTTCTTTCTATATGTCATTATGGGAAATAAAACCATTTATGCATTTTATTTAAATGTACATATACCAGTCTCTTGTCATCAACGCACACTATTCCATCGTGTTTAAATGAGAGAATTTTTATAACATATATGTAATATCGCTAGTACGTAACACCGTGCATTTCAAGATTTGATCGAAGAACTGTCTAGGGATTACTTAAGCAAAATTTGCTTGTTATAAAGTATTAGATATGGCATAAATTGCAGATATGATACATGTACATTTTAGGTCACCTGAGTTAAATCTGCTGTCCTATTGCTATTTGTTTTGTCAGTGGTCGTGCATCGTGCGTTATTATTTGAACATTTTCAGTTTGCAACAACTAAACCAATTTTTATCAATTTTGGCACAAGGCATCTATGGATGGAAAGGACACAGAAAATGTAAATTTCATGGTCTCTTCCCTCCTAGGGCCTGATATGCGGGACCAAAACCACTGAAATTGATGCAATCTTAACAAAAATTCTGCTCTGGTCCTTGACATCAAGCATTCAAACTGTTGGCATAATTTTAATCAGTATTGAATCCTTTACCAAAATTGTGAAATTCACTTCTTCAGGGTTATTGGTTCTATTGATAGGGTGTATATACATGTATACTATATATTGAAATGCATTTAAGTTCGGTTACTCGAATTTAAATAAACTAAACAAATACAGAGTAATGTTAAATGAGGCGGCCTCTATCACAATTGTGAATTTCATGACCCCTTGGTGGGTGGTTCTATATATATATATATATATATATATATATATATATATATATATATATATATATATATATATATATATATATATATATATATATATATATATATATATATATATATATATATATATATATATAAAGCACAAATTACAACAACTCTTAAACTAATATAACTGCCGTAAGTGAAGAAATATTAATATAGAAAGCATAGAGAAATTCACTTTTACAAGGATACTCACTTCAGCCCCAGCCCGGGGTTAAACTCTCGACCTACGGAATCTGTCTCCTAACAGTGCAGGAACAGCGCGTTAGACCGCTCGGCTATCTAGGCACGTTAAAAACTTGCTTTCGATGCCGATGGAATCCTCACAACGCTGTCCTACACTACACGGTCATTGAGAATGGAAGTGAGATACAGTTATTTGGACATTAGTTTTTAGAGGATTGTTACCAATACATGTTGTGATGAAATTAATTTTATTTATAAAGCACAAATTACAACAACTCTTAAACTAATATAACTGCCCTAAGTGAAGAAATATTAATAAACAAAGCACAGAGAAATTCACTTTTACAAGGATACTCACTTCCGCCCCAGCCCGATTGGTAACAATCCTCTAAAAACTAATGTCCAAATAACTGTATCTCACTTCCATTCTCAATGACCGTGTAGTGTAGGACAGCGTTGTGAGAATTCCATCGGCATCGAAAGCAAGTTTTTAACTTGCCTAGATAGCCGAGCGGTCTAACGCGCTGTTCCTGCACTGCTAGGAGACAGATTCCGTAGGTCGAGAGTTCAACCCCGGGCTGGGGCGGAAGTGAGTATCCTTGTAAAAGTGAATATCTCTGTGCTTTCTCTTTATATATATATATATATATATATATATATATATATATATATATATATATATATATATATATGATATACTTCTTTTCTTCTCTTCGGTATTCAATAAACTAACGGAGTACAGAGTTATGATGAGCAATAATGTCTTTTCCAAAATTGTGATATATAATAGTCTTGTCTGACCCCCTTATCATATGTTTATATTTTGTTTTGCGTCATTTACTTCAATAAATGACAATTTTTCACTTTCACTACTGTTGTTACTTTAATTTTAATCCATCAAAAAACTAGCTCAGTTGACTTGGCTTCGGTCTTGCATAATAACAGAGGAACATAATATATATTATAAACTTCTTTTCTTCTCTTTGGTATTCAATAAACTAACGGAGTACAGAGTTATGATGAGCAATAATGTCTTTTCCAAAATTGTGATTTCAATGGCCCTGGGTCAGGGTTCCGGTTATTGATCAGGCTCTATTGAAAATATAGCAAAAATGCATGAAATCTTCTCCTCTGCTCCATGGTATGAAACCAAAAAACTATGTACAAGGTTAAAATGTAGAAGGATGATTCTCCATAATTTGTGAATTTGAGAGCCCTTGAGTCAGGGGTCCTGGTTTTTTGGGGGTTCTAAAGATTATATATTGAAAATGCATAAATTCTTTGAATATATTTTTCTTTGCTCATGGGCGTTGTGTCAATGATACAGGTACATATTTATAATGATGAAATGTGCTTCTTCCAAAATAATTCATTGCAGGGCCTCTTGATCAGGGAGTACTTAGTCTAAAAATAAAGTAATGCTTTGAAACCTTATATGTGTTATTTATCAACTTTAAATGTTAAATAAAAATTAGAAAATGCTTTGAAATATGTGGCCCCAGGGCAAGTGATTCCTGTGGGGAGGTGTGCACAACTGGTGTTTATATTATAAAAAGATAATACATTTCCTCTTTGTTACTCTGATCATCATTTTCATGTCCCTCTGGGTATTTAGTAACCAAGGTAAGAATGCTTAGTGTATAATTATGTAAAAAAAAAATGATGTCTTTTTCACAATTGTGACTTTTATGGCTTTTGTATGAAACACGAACCAATTCAATTCTTGTCTTATAAAAATTGTAAATGCAGTTCTTGCAGATCCCGGACTTTTAAACTTCCTATATTACACCCCACCCCCGTCCTATCAACCCTGCTTTCCGTGGATATGATCTTATACTAAAATATTGATTTCTAAACCCGTCTCTTTCATTTCAAATTTGCATAATATTATGCATAAATTTTCCGTGTCCTATGTTCCATTCTTTTTATTTGTGTCTATGTTTACGTTAAGTATGTCATGCCTCATATGTATAATTGCATACATATTTACGAGGGCTGTTCGGAAATTATTGAGACAATTACATATTCTCCATAAAGGACGGAGATATTTTCACGAAAATTCATCAACATTATATATAGAACGAATAAAACACTTATGCGAAATTTCTAATTCCTATGCTAATAAGATAAGTTTTTGTGAAATAATAAATATGCATGTGTCTATCGACCCGGAGCAGCACGCTACGTTATTTAACGTCACGTCAGCCGGAGATGTTTTCAAATGTGAAACGATCAGGAAGCGTTTAATACTCTTCCCTCTTTATTATTACATATAACATTACAAAAATAAGACATTCTCTTTTCTTAAACTACCGGTATTCTTTAAAATGTATGCTGTTGCTACCCCAGTATAAATATTCTTTTGTGAGAAAGGATGACTCAGAATCATGCAACGCGGGTCAACGATATCAATACTGTAAGTAATAACCGATGGTCGTCTGGAGCTTCTGATTTTACTCTGGTTGAATTAATTGTAAAAAAAATGTATACCAATGAAATAACAAACCCTAAAACAATTATTTTTCTAGTTATTATTGTTTTAGCAGATCGATCAGCCCGGAAAATAGTTCTACATTGAGCTATACAAAATTTTAGGTATGCTGGCAGCTCCACCCTTGACGTCAAAATCTATTTTGTCGTCGTTAACAGATTTCTCTACCGCACTTAATTTTTTATGATATCCGTATTTCTAACCAAAATACTAACAAAGTTGTACAATATGAATTTGAAATAAAGCTGAAAAATTTTACACATAAACTAAATTATTTTCGCTTTTATTATCGGTCCACGAAGAAATAAAACGTTGGTGATATATTTTTTCAAGTCCTATGCTTCCTATTTTTCGGGTGTAATTTTTGGACTTCGATAATTTATCCTACCGACCAAAGTTGATAATAAAGAGCTATTCAATTGTTAAAAACGGACTTCACTGATTAGCAATGATTCATTTTACATACACTGTATAAATAATAAAATGCAACAATTGCAATTAGCACAATTCTGACACTAGCGACAGATGTTTTAGATGGAATAACTTAAGACATGTTGAATAAATTAATTAAATAATTAATTTCCACAATGGGACTTTCATATTAAATAGCTAAAAAAAATTTTTCGTGATATTTAAAGTATTTACAATACACCGTGATACAATTATTAATGAAAGTAGAAAGATATTTCTGAATCCATTTTGTGCTGAATCTTTTTTTTCTACCGAATACGTTTTCTTAACACTTTATTTGCTATTAAGATAGTACAGGAGTCATATTTTGTCATTTTATTAGATGCCGACAGCAAGAAAATGGATGTAAGAATCGCATTTCTGTTTACTATTGTTACTCTGATGAAAGAGGTATGCAAGTATTGCATTGATTTTGGTTTCATTCTCTTTCTTTTTATCTCTCTATAATTTCAAAAATGTATTAAGTTTGTCATCGATCCTCATTAGTTTTTATTTTAAAATAATTTTGTATCTGTTATTTTATTTTTCAGACACCTATACTTTGTGAAAATTCTTGTGAAATCTCTGTCAAATCTAAGAAGATTGTCAAGTCTTGTCCTTCGAATAGAACTGAGATGGAAGAGTCTGCGAAAAGATTAAACTGCCAGAAGTATTTAAGAATCAACAATTGTAGCGATGATCCTAATAATATTTATTATCATTGCGTAATAAATGAATCTGGAAATAAAACCATTGAAGTCTGTGCGCCTAAAATTACAATTTTTGGTAAATATCATTCTTCAAAAAGAATTTTTGTTGAAATATATTTATTAAACAATGAGAAGTGTATCGGAGGTTAACAAGCCAACAAAAGACAAATAAACAAAAGAAGTGAGTGCTAAATTCACGAAATGATATCCCCATTTCTTATATGACAATAATGGCAAAAATCATGGTTTACTACGAAAGGCCTGAAATATGTGTCTGAGCTAAAAAAAAAAGTAGAGCTACAACAGGCACTATATAAAAAAGATTATGTTAAAGTCTTATTTATTTATATTCAATGGTTTAAGGGAGTTTTGAATAAGAGATGGGTACCCTAAAGCGTAACAGACGGATAGACAATCCCATCACTATATGTACTTCTTGTTTTCAAGTGTGGGGTATTATAAAAGGGCAACTTTCTCATCCATAGTTACCTTTTAAAATACTGTTTTTAGCACTATGTATTTTTTGTAAGTCTGACTGTGATTTCCTTCGCCAGTCCTTCATTTCATCCTCTCATTTATTGGTCAACTTATTTGAGGGTTTATGGTAACACAATTGTGTATGTGTTTGTCTTTGGGTTTTTATGTGAGGAACGGAAGTTGCATAATTTGCATCGAAATCAATGTAGATGTGCTCATTGCGAAAGTAATTTCAACTTTGCCATGCCTATGTAACAATAGTAATTTTAAGTAAATATTAACATGCATTTTTAAAGCATTCTTAAAAACTTTACTAATTCATTTTAGGACATTGTACAGAGTTTAATGAAGAGGCTGGATATATTCAGGCCAATTATTATTTGGACTGTAAAAACTTTAAAGTAACACCATGTGGCAAATACTACGGATCAAACGAAGCCTATTTGTGTACGTATATTGTTTTATCTTAACGTATTTTTATTTTTTCCCCCATAATTTCAAAAAAATAAATATGTTTATTACGGCTTTAAAACTTACTTCGACAAATCCAGTTGCAATTGTTATACATGTTGTTCCCCACTTTTGCGAAAGCGAGGGGACATAAATCTCACACGTCTGTCCGTCTGTCAGCCTGTGCGTCTGTCAGTCTTTAAGTCTATAAGTCTGTTCGCTGTCACAAAAACTTTTACCTTGGTCATATCTTTTGAATGAGAAGACTAAGGAATTTGATATTAAAAATGTGCATTTCAGGATTTTTTTTTACCCTGTGAGCTTTAACGTTTGATCTTCTTTTGAGACATTAAAATATTACTTTAGAATGGGCGTAATTTTTGCATGAGAAGAGATTGTGCTTTCACCATGATGTAATACATGTGTATTGCCTTCGATTAACCCTTTATTAGTACCACTATAAATTTTGATCCGACTATCTTTATCTTGAAGTATACCTCCTTTTAAAAACTTTAACCTTGGTCATAATTTGTGACTGAAAAGAAAAAGGGCTTTTACACTTGAAACCTGACTCTGACAAACTTTAAAAAAAAATATTTTAATCTCCACAAACCTTTGTCTGAGAAGAAATATGGTTTTCTAATTTGATGAGTTCTATACTTGTGACAAGATATTTTAGTGCATGCCATGATTTCCAACCTTCATTTTTGAACTTATGTTAAAAATCAACTTCAGGGATAACTTTTGAATGATATGTGATAAGGCGTTCATATTTTACACAACGTGCTTTCAATAATGACATTTGATCCACAACGACGCCGAAAGTGGGAGATCACAATTCTTTGAATTAGTTTTTTATTAGTTTTCATCCGCTGCTATTTTGTTTTTAAACTTTTGGAAGACACATTTTTTTAATTATCATTTTTATAGTTATTAATGGACTCCTTGAATTAATCTCAGAATAGACGCATCAACTTTTATTGATGATATTGCATGAAGTTTTAAACCATTTTGCAAGAATAGCCTGTTATTTCCGCATCCGTAAAAATTAACCGTAAAGGCAAGATCCTATACCAATGCTTTCGACTAGCTTTCAATCTATTCATTGCGAAAGGATTCATGATAAACGTATTAAGTTGTTGGTTAGAATCTCACTTGATTGATCGATTAATTCTATTTTGTTTAACATACATCTCGAGAATTTTTCCCTCACATTGACACGCCACCACTTGCCCGTGGAGTCTTGCAAATTTTATGTACTATACTCGGCACTGACTGCCATTGCGCCTGGAGGGATCTTTTTCATGGCAAGGAGGGATATTTTTCATGCCAGGACCTAGGACGACATGGGACCCCAGTCTGTATGGTCTCATCAGAAAGACCGGTTTTAACATCCTACAGTAGATCTGAAAGCACGACATAAGTATGAACTCCTTACTTTTTAACTCTAAAGCAGTTGATCTACATGTAACCACAGTGCCACGTCCAACGTGGAGACTGGATGTGACCGTATAAACCGAGGTACCGTGTTGGACTAGGTGCTGGCTCAAAAAAGAACACTCGCTGCTCAAGTAGCCGTAAGTGTGTACTAAAACAGGGAAGGACAAAAAATGTTGACCATCGATGTTTTTTTTCTATTGACTGGCTAGGAATAATGCATAAAGAATTTTCCCAATTTTCTGTTAATTCTTATAGTTTAATTTTGGTTCTAAGGCTGTACTTCCTTTGATAAACAAAATACAGGTAACTCTTGATGGCTCGAACTTCGATCTCTCGAAGTTCTTGATCGCTTGAAGTGAGTGTCCGGTCCCGAATTTTTTCCCTTTATAACTAAGCAAATTTACTCTTGATTTCTCGAACTCTTGATCTCTCGAAACCCTTGATCTTTCGAAGTAAAATTGCAGTCCCGCTGTACATATTCTATTGAAATTCACCCTTGATACCTCGAAGTGGCTATGTGTATACAAAGTTACATAATTAGCAACTTTACCTGGACATTTAATGACCCCAGGCAGAAGACGCGGGTCTCGTGAAACGGGATGTTTATTCAGGTGACACTAATTCTGCAAGGTGATAATTGATTTATAATTAATCCTATGGTGCCTATATGCTATCAAAATAATTATCATCGTCTGTATTACGATAATTCAGAAACGTTGTGTCGCTGAAAAACTGTAATTGCAGATTACGAGACGAAACAATTAATGAATTAGATTTTTATTTCGAATCAGTATCAAAGTTTAACGAAATATGAAAATTCAGAAACAACCTCGCTGTCGATATGACGACTTTTTTTGACAAATACATACAGAATTTCGTTCAATGCACATGTTTGGAAAAGTAACAATGCTATGTACCACGCTGGTCTATGCCGTTTTCATATACAATGAGTACAATGACATCCGTATGCTAAAAAAAAAAATAAATACACGAACTGACGATGTACATTTTTTGCTTTATTCAGTTTAATAAATATTCACTTAAAATACGAAAACATATCGTTGTTTTGTAAAAACCACGTGTAAAAGGTAGGAACTGCATGAAAATCATTACATCCGGTATGACTAATTTTAAAACCTGTCAAACAATCCCGGAAAAATCCGGACTCTTGAAAACTCGAACTCTTGATCTCTCGAAGTTTTTCCTCGGTCCCACGGACTTCGAGGTTTCGAGAGTTACCTGTACATCAAATCGTATAATACCTACGTCACAATGACTTGCATAAAAACGTATGAATCTGCCTAACATAACATTCAAATCTTGTACAATTTGAAGTATATTTAAGAGCAATTATCTCTTTTCGTACTCCAAATGAATGGAAATAAGATTATAAGAAATAAATTTAATAGAAACCCATTTAATACGTTATAAACGTGGTAGAAACTGTTTTTACGCTTTTTAAAGCCTTTTTGCGGTTTAAAAAGAGTAAACTGTCCCGACCCACTCTGTACCGTATAAAATAGCTTAGGTAACTATTAGATTCATTCCTTAGCTGATATGAAGATTTATAAAAAAAGGTAAAGGAATTAAAGATTGGCTTAACCTTACCCATGGCTCCCAAAACAACGTGACGTCACAATAGGCTCATCGTCAGACACCTAGGGTAAGAAGACTGACCTACACTGTACATTTGGATAATAGTATTATCAAGAACACACCAAATCTAATTTCTGTGTCCGTGAAAATCATCAAGGACGACCTAACTGTAGCAATGGACAATACTTCAGGAAATATTTAACTAGAGTTTTTGAACGACATTGATGATCAGTATCTGATGAATTTTTTGGAACATTAAACCCAACTTAACTACATCACTAACACTTAATATCTCGAGTACCTGGCAGTTATATAACATTCTACAGTTTTTTTGCTGAAGAGTTGAGAAAGCTCTAAAACTTGCAAGATTTCTGGTGAACAAAGCATTGTTTACAGTGGTGACAATAGAATGATTTGAACAATTTTATGTCGAAAATAAAATTCATTGCCAAGGATTGAACTCCAAATAGTAGATTGTCGAATAAGAATATTTAATCAGAATTCAAATGTGACAATTTTCAATGAAAACTTAATAAGAAGAATCTGCTTAGTTAAAAATATCATAGAAAATAAGACATTGTCGGAATGGCTCCTCTCAACGATTGATTAGGTTAGTTCGTTGATTGTTTAGCAAGGTATTCCATCAGGATCTTTTTTATAATCTGACTTAATACAATGATCTATTTTGCATTGGATTTATAGCACATTTGCCCCCATCCAACAGACATTTTCTACATTTATCGCGAAAGAGTTCCGCAAAGGAAAGTAATCGCAATATCAAGTATTTCAATTTTACGATGAACTACAACAATTACAGTAATGATTACGTTTAGAGGTTTTTATTTTATAAAAGTAAACCAACTTTTTTGTTTACACCTTCTTTTCTCATGTTTTCTCACAAAAAGAACGCCTTCATTCTGTACTATATTTCGTTTAACAAAACCGTAATTACTGTCTTTTAGGGCAACAATGGTTATGTAAGCTTACTCAGGACTAAAATATCTCCATCGTCCGGCAATATTTCATCCCTTGGAGGCTAACATAACCAATGATGCCCTCAATCAAGGTCACAATTTAGAACTTGTATATCAAACACCTCAATTAAACCCTAGAATGTGTATTGCACGAATACAAACTTGTACAATCTGTACAGAAAAACGCAACTCCTTTTAATACTATGAAAACAAGTAAAACATATATACGGAAGCCAAAGAGAGAAGAGGAGGAAAAAAAAACAAGAAGGAAGTTTGCATTGGAACGAACCCGGATAAAAAAATCCTAATTTTGATTTTTTTCTTGCCTCTTTCTTTTTTATTTATTTTTTTTGGAAGTTAAAATTTGAAAAAAAAAGAAAACATAAGAAGGTTGAAAGCCCTATACTATATTTTTTTCTGAACGATGTGCTGTAGTTCTTATACTTGAAAGGCCTTTTTATCTATCTTTGTTCAGTGTTCTTTTTCTTTGTACTTTAAACCTCGCTACTCGTTTGAAACCGCAAACAAGGGACGAAACCTTCGTCGACTAATTAACGGAACTCCTATTCTTTGCAAAAGTACAAATGTATCCATTGACACCCTTCAGTGAGTTAATGTCCTTAAAAGTTAATGAAGTTTACGAATATTACAACGCATCTTACAGAGAAGTTGCAATTGCATAATATGTTTTCACCCCTGACCTTAAAAATGTATATAAAGTGTAAAACTCAATGTCATTCCAAAAATGAAGAATTTACTTCTTTTAATCGTTTCTCAAAATATAACTCTTATCTTTTAATCTCTCATATATCCTCTAAAACTGTGATAAAGAGTTCATTTTTTGAGAATTATTGCATCTTTCATTTTTCACTACAAACTTTGTTATTGCTTCTCCTACGAAATAATATTGCCCTTAGATGCAAATTCAACCTCTTCAATGCGAAAGAATTTGATTATCTTATCGAACTGTTTGATAATGAAAAAATTATACATGCAAATTAAATAATTAAAATCCGGCGTTTGGAAACCTTTGGTGTATCTTTTATAAATTAGTACTGCCCAACTACTACTAATATTATATAGAGAATATTACATACTAAAATCCATATCATATGTCATATCAGCCCGAGGGCCGAAAGCTCGAGGGATGATATGGGCCCGAGGGCTGATGTGACATATGATATGGATTTTAGTATGTAGTATTCTATTTATCATATATTTAAAATACTTAATATGAGAGTTCAAAATATGGTCGTTGAAGAATGTTTGTGCATGTTGTTGACATTTTTCTTTAAAATTTAGCCAATTTTAGGTAACTGGAAAAAAATTAAGACCACAAATGTTGTTAAAGAATTATTTTATATGATTATATAAATAAAATCAAGTAAATTAACTTTTAAACTTAATACAAACGTTACATCCGGCTTGATATGGCTTTTCGGACCGGTCCGTGATATGGGGTATTGTGACGTCACCTGTATCACACCGTGCAGAATCGGTGTATTAATTACTAAGTATATGATTAATTAATATAATTTATTATACATGTTATTTTATTGAAAAGAATTATGCTGATGAAAAAGAAATCTTGTATTTTTAGACAAAGAATGTTATAATCATACTAGAAATGCACAAATCTTTGGAGCGACAACACCAAAAACAATTACAACCTCTCAGCGACCTAAAATGAATGAGCCAATAAAACAGTCTCTTAACGAGGACGTTTTGGAGTCTGATACTTCGTGAGTATATTGATATTTAACGACTTTTGCAAAAAGCGCTTTCTTTAACAGTCGACGGTTTACTTTCACGCTAGGACAATATACTGGTGTATAAGAGATGTCATATATTTTTAAATGAACAGTTAAAATGTTTATCTAGCCCCCTTCAAAGAATAATTTACTTTGAATAGAAAAGGAACTTCAACTACACTATACTCAATCCCATTTCTTTCCACCATGACGAGTCTTTTAGAAGTGGTTTTTCTTCCTTGAACAAAAGATTTTAAAAGAAGATACAAGCCACCACGAACGCATTACCCAATTCTTTTTAAAAATTTTCTTTCTTTTATTTCTTGTATTGTTTGTATACAGGTAAATTATGTTAGCACACCAACATATGCAAAGATGTATATGTATGTTTAAATGCCAAAGGAACTCGTCAATCGTAAAAGTCAGCGCTTTCGTAAAGGTCCTCTGTTTAGAAGATATTCCAAATATTTGTATATTATGATATCAAAAGATTAATATCAATTCTCTATAAAAATCAAAATTTTAAATAGGGATGTGGACATGACATATCTCCGATTTAGCTGAAATTCACACCATTTACTACAATTGGTATGTCTTTAATAAATATGATGTTAAAGTCTAACTTTTCAATTTGGTTGCCATGGTAACAGGGATGCTATATTTAGAACCCTCTGATAAAGCAAATTTTGCTCTGTTTGAAATTAAATTTGTGCACATTCAATTAATTAGTAAAAATTCACATGAAAATTATATTATGTGAGCTCATATTACTTAAATCTGAGAAATTAATTTCATTCAAAGATATTTGAATGAAGATTAAGCGAATTTTCATTGCAGCATTAAGGTTGTTAGCAAATTGGCAATTTGCCAAATTTGTCTTTTTTAGTCATATTCAATGAAATTCTTCACCATTTTGACAACTGATATATATGTAACCATGTATCACTAAATAAACTATATATTCTAAGGTTTTATGAGAATAAAAAAATTTAATGGGTAAATCAAAAACTTTCTAGAAATTATTGCATGAAAATTGGCAATTTGCCAAAATTGACTTTTTTAGTCATATTCAATGAAATTTTTCACCATTTTGACAACTGATATATTTGTAACCATGTATCACTAAATAAACTATATATTCTTAGGTTTTATGAGAATAAAAAAAATTAATGGGTAAATCAAAAACTTTCTAGAAATTATTGCATGAAAATTGGCAATTTGCCAAAATTGACTTTTTTAGTCATATTCAATGAAATTTTTCACCATTTTGACAACCGATATATCTGTAACCATGTATCATTAAATAAACTTTATATTCTAATGTTTTGTGAGAATAAAAAAAATTAATAAATTAATTGGTAAATGAAAGTAGGTCAGACAATATTATGTCAAAACAAGTTGGCAAGACCATCTTGATTATAATGTTTGTTTGCCCTAGTCTCCCAGCTCAGGGTAAAATTATTAAGTCGCCTCGTTAGGTAGGTTGTAAAATCTTTTTCCCAGAAAATTTCATAATATTTGTTGACAAGATAAGATGGATAAAAAAAACCATCCTGTCTTGCAATGTAAAAAAAAGTTTTGAATTTTAGTTAGTCTGTTGGGGGAAGGCAGCCAAATTTGTTTAAATGACCTTATATGCTAAATATTGTGGAATTAATTTTTATTACCACATTGCTTATCAGCATATTCAGATGATCAGTTACATGTATACTTTGTTCTTTTAATGGGTATAAATATTTTTAACCATTTGACCTTGACCTTAGACATTGACCGACTTAAAAAAACTTTAACCTTAACCACAACTTTTGAAGTTGGACTAGATTTTTATATTTCACAGGTGTTTTAATTACTTGTGGCAAGACCTTTCTTGGGATACCTCGTGGGAGTCTTGACATAAGCTGCAATGTATGGGGGAATCAGTATTTCACAATTAATCTTGTTCTCAGTTTTGTTAAAATGTATTCATATATATTCTAATCATACATAACATACTGTGTGAAGCCTGCCAATATAAAACTCTAAATTTGTGAGCCCATGTGGGGGTATATAATAAATCAGTATACCACCTCTCCTGCAGAGAGGGGATATAAAAAGGGAAGAAACTGCTTTTATAGAAAAAAATAAACAAGACATAAATTGGAAGGTATGCTTCACTTAAACAGTGACATTTTTTGAAAATACAAGAAATCAATTTAGAATACACATATTCTCTAAGGAAAACAGATGTCCTGCTTAAAAAAAAATTTTGCTAAAATTTGTTCCTTCATATTCTCTCATTTGATGTAAGCTTGGTTTCCTCGAATTCACATTTCTTTATGTCCTTTTATGTAAGTTTGAAAAGTAGCTCAGCCTTGCAGTATTGATTTGCTGTGGATTTTAGTAATGATCATTAGAAAACCCTCTCTATGTCCATCTTGCACCAGTGACAACTTTTACTGGATCCTCTTTTCTTTCTGTTATTTTTCCTACTTTGTATTTTTCATGTAACATTTACTTCCAGTCCACTGTGAATTTTTTTTTTTTTTTTTTTGGGGGGGGGGGGGGGGGGTATTTCCACTGCTCGGGTCATATATATAGTTGACATGAAAAAAAAAAAAAATAACATTAATTTTTGGTAACTGTGGATAAAAAATCATTTAAAAATTGTTTCTAAAACTTAAAACTGGAATCTTAAAATTTTGCTATATATAAAACATATACATTTTCAACCTATAAACATTATTATCTCCCTTTATGCATTGTTGTGGCAATCATGTCTTAAGTCACCATGAATCCATGCAACTTAATACACACTACATGTACCTGTGTGGTCTCTTTGCTAGAGGATCTGTAATCCTGAGAATCTTCATTAGGAAAATCTTGCAAGGGCTGCAATGATCAATTTAAAATTATTTTTTTAATTTGAAAGTTTGGGTTAAAATCCTGAACATCATATATATATATTACATGTACCTTATATTTACATGTTATCCTGAAAATTTTCTGAATCAAGAGGAATGATTGATAAAGGAGTGGATTTAATGTTGTCATCAAGCATTTTTTTTTCAATTTACATATAAAGCTTTTCTGCAGTTTGGACAAATCACCAGATATATAGAGACTAAGAGTAGAAATGAATTTGACAAAAATTAATTTCTAAAGTGGAAAATAAATTGTATTAATATATTCATAAATTAATTGTAATAAAAACATACATGTTTTATGGATACTAACGTAATGTGGTATAATTTATTTTGTTCTTTAATGCGACTATTTTTAATTTTTACAATATGTCCTTGACATGTAAAGTACACAGCATCAGACTGATCTCATCTGTACAGATCAATATTGTCAAACTAAAACTATTCATATTTAAAATGTGTGCAAGATTGATATGTCTGCAATATATAGCTGAAAAACAGTGATCAGTAAAATAAAATTATGAGACAGAAAGCTGCATCTTGGAAAGTACAAATGGAGTTGCCATATTCTAACACCCTTGGATAGATTTCTTTTCCTACTTTACAATACATCACCTTGCAGAGCAAATAAATTCATTGTATCAAGGTCCTAAAAATGATTTCACAATAGTATGACAAAGTATATGTACTTAGATCTAGAACACTATTAGCATTTGTAAATCTGTGTGTCTGCATGTTCTTTCATAATTTTACACTTACACTTTTTTAATCAATTATTTAAAATATTCTACAGTCCTGATATTGCATAAAATTTCAAACATAGGTAATCAGAGATTACAGAGCTCACCTCAACGAATGTTATCTTTAAGTAAGGCAAAGTCACACAATTAACCAACAAAAAGTGTACATTCCAAAAATGAAAATATTTAAGCAATTTTGATCTGATACTTTGAAATAGACCTACATAAACAATTTAAACTAGTTCTTCTTCATGAAAATGTAATCAAAATCCAACATCTGAAGCAAATTTGAGAATTTTCATCTCTTGATGAAAACTTTAACCTGTTCACTCAACCGTAAAATGTAGGTCAGATTCAGCATCCGAAGCAAGCCCGGTAGTGTGCATCCTTAGATGTATCATCCATGCAAATTTGGTCAACATAGGTCTCATAGTTACTTGGAAATGAAACTTACACCAAAAACTTTAACCTGTTCACTCAACCGCAAAATGTAGGTCAGATTCAGCATCTGAAGCAAGCCCGGTAGTATGCATCCTTAGATGTATCATCCATGCAAGTTTGGTCAACATAGGGCTTATAGTTACTTGGAAATGAGACCTGCACCAAAAACATAAACATGTTCACTCAACCGGAAAATGTAGGTCAGATTCAGCATCCGAAGCAAGCCCGGTAGTATGCATCCTTAGATGTATCATCCATGCAAGTTTGGTCAACATAGGGCTTATAGTTACTTAGAAATGAGACCTGCACCAAAAACTTAAACCTGTTCACTCAACCGGAAAATGTAGGTCAGATTCAGCATCCGAAGCAAGCCCGGTAGTATGCATCCTTAGATGTATCATCCATGCAAGTTTGGTCAACGTAGGGCTTATAGTTACTTGGAAATGAGACCTGCACCAAAAACTTAAACCTGTTCACTCAACCGGAAAATGTAGGTTAGATTCAGCATCCGAAGCAAGCCCAGTAGTATCCATCCTTAGATGTATCATCCGTGCGAGTTTGGTCAACATAGGGATTATAGTTACTTGGAAATGAAATCTAAACCAAAAACTGCACTAAAAATGTTAACCTGCTCCAAAAACATCAACCTGGTCATTCCTTTGCTGAAACTGCAGCATCTGAAACTTTGACTGGTACAATGAAACACACTAGAACCATCTTCCATGCATGTCTAATCAATATAGGACATAGAAGTACTTAAAAAGAAAACTGCTCCAAAAAACTTAACCTTAACCTGGGACGCCGACGCCGACACCGACGCCGACGCCGAGGGTATTACATAAGCTCCCCCAACTTCGTTGAGGTGAGCTAAAAAATCTAACACACTATTCAGTTATCATTGTCAGAAGTC